TGCCGACTTGTCATGCCACTGGAGAAACCTGATGCGGCTCAGGGGCTCTGTCAGAATGTCAGCGAGCTGCTCCTCAGTCCCGATGAACTCCACAGCGATCTTCTGCTCCTACGCACTGACGGATGTAGTGGTAGCGGAAGTCGATGTGCTTGCTGTCGTCATGGAGGACCGGGTTTTTGCAGAGGGAAATGGCGGACTTTTTGTCCACCCGAAGAGTTGGTGTTGTGATCCCCTTGCCGGTGATGTCGGCGGGCAAATGAGCCTGCCAATTGCCCCTGCAGACGGCTGTCGTGGTCGCGATGTACTCAGCTTCGCATGAAGAGAGGGCCACCACCTTCTGCTTCTGCGATTTTCAGCTGATGGGGCTGTCGCCGAGGAAGAACAGGGCAGCCGCCGTGCTCTTGCGGTCGTTGACGTCCCCGGCCATGTCGCCGTTGCTATAGCCGCAACGGCGTGCTTCACCGGAGCGCCTCGGAGGAGAATGGCAGCCGAGATCACGCGCCCCGGCTACATACCTGAGGATGTGCTTGACCGCTGCGAGGTGTTCGACAGTGGGCGCTTCCATGAACCTGCCCACGTAGCCCACAACGTAGGCGATGTCAGGTCGGGTGTGAACAAGGTATCGCAGGCTGCCGAAGATGCTTCAGTACTCGGTGGCGTCCGTTGGTGCTGCAGCGCTCGTCTTGCTCTGCTTCAGGTGGGCCTCCATCGGCGTCTGACAAGGGATTGCACTCTGTCATCCCGCCCTTATCGACGATCCTGTCGGCGTATGCGGACTGGGCGATCGTCACGCCGCTGGCGTCCTGGCACATATCGATGCCGAGGAAGTAGGAGAGAAGTCCAAGATCGCTCATCTGGAACGCCGCCTGCATCTCCGCCTTGAATTGACCGATTTCTCTGCGTCAGCGTCAGGATTTTAATGTCTCCTAAATTTTGGAACTTTTCTCTTGAGTTGATGAATGATAATGTTTGGTCTGTGACATGATATGAGCAGGTACAGGATATGAGAACCTTCCAAACGAATGCGATGTATATCCTCCCTATACGAGTGTTGATGGATTGGAAGTGGGTCCAGCGGTAAGTTGATTTTCTGGTTGTCAATAATTTATGTGACGTCTTCTTTTTCTCAGTTTGACATTTTTGAAGGTTATATACAACGAGGACCCTTCCATGATGTACCATGGTGGCTATGGCTATGACCCTTATGCTCATTATTCTCCTATCTCGACACCAGTATCAGCTGGTGTTAGTGGAAATGGTCAGCTCTACTCTCCTCAGCAGTTCTCCTCGGGTCCTTGCTACCAGCAACCGTTACAGCCTGACATGCCATATTTAGGCTCTCCTACTCCAGTATCACAGGGTGAGACAATGATGCCAATTGACCCAACACGGGGGTTTCTTTTGCGGCAAGTCTGTTATCTAGGTCGTTGCGCTGGAAACAACGTGGCTTTGACCTCTGATGGCGGTCTCGGGCGATTCCGCGGGCGACTCCACCGCCGCCGCCACGGCGCCGCCGTCGCCTCCCCCCGCCCTCTCCCTGTCGGGCCTTCCGCCGGCGACCCTGCCGCCGCCCCCCGCGCCGGACGCCGCCGCGCCGGCTGCCCCGGGCGCCCCCT